GGTGTTCTGCACTCTCTTTAAAATATTGATTTTTTAATTTTGGGTTGGAAAAGTGGGGGTCGTCTTGTACATGGGGGTGTCTTATTGACGGAAAAATACGGTATTTCTACTGGACTGGAAAACTGCTCTAAGATGTAAATTTGCAATAATGACTGTAAGTTCCATTGAAATCAGAGGGTCTTAATTCTGAGTAAACATGTTCAGGATTGCTAAACAAAAAAACTCTCCTGTAACTTTTAAACACTTTTCATTCAATCTCATAAAAGAGAATTTGCATTTGAAATTTCTTTCAAAGGAGAAAAGCATTTTGGTGAAATTTCAGTAAGTGGAGTCTGGCATCCTCCCATTTGGTTACAAAAGGCCAAAGGATGCATGTGAACGACCTCACTTTCACTATCACATCACCCTCCAGAAGTCTGCAGCCTCTCTGTCTTCTAATTCTTCAGTGCAAGAGAAATCTGAAATAAGTTCTCAAACACTCGGAAGAAAGAAAAAACAGTAACCTATTCTGCAGGGAAACAAAACTTGGGGGAAATTGCAAAGTGTATTTTCACACAGCATTAATATTTGGTATTATTCAGCAAATCTTTGAGGAGGTTCTTCACTTTGATAAAGATTCAACAGAAGCATCCTATCAAAGCTGCTTCACAAGGCAGTTGGAACCTCTCACTTCTAAGAATGAAGAGAAATAGGCATGTGGTTGGCTTGGCTTTGCAGCTCATCTCAACATCCATTTTTTGCAAAAACTGAGGGCTTCTGCATAAAAGCTTCTACCAGCTTTGGAACATTGTACATGGTACTGGCACTGGTTTTTAGTTTATCAAAAATATATGGTCATAGACCAAACATACTGAAGTTAAAAATACATTACACAGCATCCAATAAAAACCTATTCATGTCTGTGCTAGATACATATGCAGACTGGCACTGGACAAGGCTGGTAGAAGACCCATCTCAGCTTTCTCCGGCAGCATGAAAGCCAGAGATTGTTGTTATTGTTCTTCAGTCATTAAATCATGTCCGACTCTTCGTGACCCCATGAACCATATTGCGCCAGGCCTTCCTGTCCTTCACTGCCTCCCTGAGTTGGCTCAGTTTCATGCTCATTGCTTCAGTGATGCTATCTAACCATCTCATCCTCTGCCGTCCTCTTTTGCCTTCAATCTTTCCCAGCATCAGGGTCTTTTCCAAAGAGTCCTCTCTTTGCATTAGGTGACCAAAGTATCTGAGCTTGAGCTTCATTATTGATCCAATGAGCAATCAGGGTTGATTTCCTTTAAGATTGACTG